TCTGAGGGAGGCGGCCGTGAGCCTGCTCCTCGGCCCGGGCACTGCAACTCCCTGAACACGCCCGGCAGCCCCGCCACGTCCCGCAGGTCACACAGGGGGCCTGGTAGGGGGTGAGCACTCCAGGGCTGACCTGCTCTTTTGACCCAGCTGTTGGCTTTGCTTAGTTTTCTAAAGCCAGGTTGTAGTAGGGTGACTTAAAAAAAAATCTGCCCTAGCTGGCTTGGCTCAGTGGATAGAGCGTCAGCCTGCGGACTGAAGGGTCCCAGGTTCGATTCCAGCCAAGGGCACATGCCTGGGTTGCGGGCTCCATCCCCAGTGGGGGGTGTGCAGGAGGCAGCCGATCAATGATTCTCTGTCATCATTGATGTTTCTGTCTCTCTCTCCTCTGTTCCTCTCTGAAATCAATAAAGAAATTTTTTTTTTAAAATATATTTTATTGATTTTTTACAGAGAGGAAGGGAGAGAGATAGAGAGTTAGAAACATCGATGAGAGAGAAACATCGATCAGCTGCCTCCTGCACATTTCCCACTGGGGAAGTGCCCGCAACCCAGGTACATGCCCCTGACCGGAATCAAACCTGGGACCCTTCAGTCCACAGGCTGACGCTCTATCCACTGAGCCAAACTGGTTTCGGCAAGAAATTTTTTAAAAAAAAAAACACAGGCAAACAAAAATAAATGAAACCCAAATCAGAGGTGCCTGGTCTCCCAGCTCTGGGGGGCTGGGAGCCTGACCTGAGCCTAACTTCTGTGTCTTCACGAGCAAACAAGAGGAAAAGAAACCGTGTGGCTGTGAATCGGGTCCCTCCTCATTGGAATCACCCTGTGGGACCAACGGAGGCCTCTCTACCTTCCACTCCCCTGTGCCGACCTGAGGCCCGGACACTGCTGTGCCCACTTGCCAGGGCAGCAGTGGGCTGGGAGCATGGGGGTCCTGTCCGAGGTCTCACCTGGAGGAAGCAGAGCGAGGCTCCCTCTGTCCACACCCCCAGCAGGCCCTGCAGCCGGACGGTGTCAGGTCGGGGCCATGAGCACGAAGAGTAACTGTTCTCAGAACCACCATCGAAGAGGCGTGCCACAGAACTCAGGAATTAGTTTATGTGCCATGAGATGAAAAAGGTTAAAAATCACTGCACTAGGGGGAATCAACAGATTAGATGAAGCAGAGGATCAAGTCAGCGATTTGGAAGACAAGATAGTGGAAAATACCCAATTAGGACAGCAAAAAGAGAAAAAAATTTAAATGAAGGTAGTTTGCCCTAGCTGGTTTGGCTCAGTGGATAGAGCATCAGCCTGCAGAATGACGGGGCACATGCCCGGGTTGTGGACTTGATCCCTGGAAGGGGGCATATAGGAGGCAGCCAATCAATGATTCTCTCTTATCATTGATGTTTCTCTCTGCTTCTCCCCTCCTCTCTGAAATCAATAAAAATATTTTTTTAAATAATTTTTTTAAAAATGAAGGTAGTTTAGCCGAAACCGGTTTGGCTCAGTGGATAGAGCGTCGGCCTGCGGACTGAAAGGTCCCAGGTTCGATTCCGGTCAAGGGCATGTGCCAGGGTTGCGGGCACATCCCCAGTGGGAGATGTGCAGGAGGCAGCTGATCAATGTTTCTAACTCTCTATCTCCCTTCCTCTCTGTAAAAAATCAATAAAATATATTTATAAAATAATTAAATAAAAAATGAAGGTAGTTTAAGGGACCTCTGGGACAACCTCAGGCATACCAACATTCCATCATAAGGGTACCAGAAGAAGAAAGAGCAGGGGATAGAAAACCTATTTGAGCCTTAGCCAGTTTGGCTCAGTGATAGAGCATCGGTCTGCTGACCGACGGGTCCCAGGTTCTATTCCAGTCAAGGGCATGTACCTGCGTTGCAGGCTTGATCCCTGGCCCTGGTCAGGGCATGTGAGGGAGACAACCAATTGATGTGTGTCTCTCTCTCTTGCATTGATGTTTTTGTCTCTCCCTCTCCTTTCCACTCTCTAGAAATCAATGGAAAAATATCCTCCGGTGAGGATTTAAAAAGGAAAAGAAAACCTATTTGCCAAAACCGGTTTGGCTCAGTGGATAGAGCGTCGGCTTGCGGACTGAGGGGTCCTGGGTTCGATTCCGGTCAGGGGCATGTGCCTGGGTTGCGGGCACATCCCCAGTGGGAGATGTGCAGGAGGCGGCTGATCGATGTTTCTCTCTCATCGATGTTTCTGGCTCTCTGTCTCTCTCCCTTCCTTTCTGTAAAAAATCAATAAAATATTTAAAAAAAAAGAAAAGAAAAGAAAACCTATTTGAAGAAGTAATGACGGAAAACTTCCCTACCCTGGCAAAGGAAGCAGACATACAATGCCAGGCAGTGCTGAGTCTCAAAGAGGCCACACCAAGACACACAATAACTAAAATGCCAAAGGTTGAAGACAATCCTAAAGGCAGGTAGTTACCTAAAGGGAGCTCCCACAAAACTCAGCTGAGCCCAACTGGTATGGCTCTTGAGTGTCGACCTACGAACCAGCAAGTCTTGGTTCGAGTCCAGTCAGGGTGCATGTCCAGGTTTCAGGTTCCATCCCCAATAGGGGATGTGCAGGAGGCAGCCGATCGATAATTCTCTTATCGTTGATGTTTCCCTCTCCCTTCCTCCCTGAAATCAATAAAAAACATACGTGTTGTTTTTTTTAAAACTACAATGAGATCTCATCTCACACCTGTCAGAATGTCTATCATCAATAAATCAACAAACAACAAGTGTTGACCAGGATGTGGAGAAAGGAAACCCTCATGCACTGTTGATGGAGTTGAAAATTGGTGCAACCACTACTATGGAAAACAGTATGGAGTTTCCTCAAAAGATTAAAAAGAGAGCAGTCATACCAGCTAGCAATTGCACTTCTGGGTATTTATCCAAAGAAAACAAAAACACTAATTCAAAAAGATAATATGCTGCCTGGCCAGCGTGGCTCACTGGTTGAGCATTGACCTATGAACCAGGAGGTCACAGTTGATTCCCAGTCAGGGCACGTACCTGGGTTGCTGGCACAATCCCCAGTGTGGGGTGTGCAGGAGGCAGCCAACCAATGATTCTCTTTCATCACTGATGTTTCTCTCCTCCCTTCCTCTCTGAAATAAAATAAATAATAAAAAATAATAATATACTTCTCTATGCTCACTGAAGCATTATTTACAGTTGCCAAGATATGAAAGCAGCCTAAGAGCCGATCAATAGACAAATGGATAGAGGTGTGATGGACATACACAATGGAAAAAGAATGAAATCTTACTATTTACAACAACATGGATGGACCTAGAGGGAATTACGCTAAGTCAGACAAATACCATATGATTTCACTTACATGTGGAATATAAAAAACAAAATGACCTGGTTGCTGTGGTTTGGTTGAGCATCATCCCTTGCACTGAAAGGTTTCCTGTTCGATTCCCAGTCAGGGCATATATCCAGGTTGAGGGAGGCAACCAGTCGATGTTTCTGTCTCATCCATGTTTCTCTCTTTCCCTCTCCCTTTCTCTCTCTAAATAAATAAATAAATAAATACATACATAAAAATAAAAAACAAAATGAACAAACTCATAGATACAGAGAACAAACTGAAGGCTGCCAGATGGGAGGAGATGGGAGGCCAGGTATAAAAGGTGAAGGGATTAAGAAATACAAATTGCCAGTTATAGTAATCACAGGGGTATAAAATACAGCCTAGGGAATCCTATATAATAAAAGGGCACTATGCAAATAGACCAAATGGCAGAACAACCGAACAACCAATCAGTATTATTAGTAATATGCTGATATGCTAAGGCTGCTCAACCGCTCGCTATGACGTGCACTGACCACCAGGGGGCAGATGCTCCAACCGGTAGGTTAGCTTGCTGCTGGGGTCTGTTCAATCCGGACTGAGTGAGACGGGCCGCATGCCCTGGAGCCCTCCTGCAGTCCCTCCCCGGCCTGATCGTGCATCGGTGGGGTCCCTCAGCCTGGCCTGCAATCTCTTGCAATCCGGGACCCCTCAGGGATGTCGGAGAGCCTGTTTCAGCCCGATCCCACAGGCCACTCCCCTCAGGAGGGCACCAGACGCAGTTCTCATGGTGAGTGCTGCTGCGGCAGTGCGAGCCTCTCCTGATTGGGACTGATTGGGCGTGAGCCTGCAGCCGGCACAGTGAGGCCAGGATGAGCGGGAGCGACAGGCAGGAGCTGCAGGCGGTGTCGGACTGCGGGTTTTGGCCTGATCCCTGCAGCCACCCAGAGGGACCCCACCCGTGCACGAATTCATGCACCGGGCCTCTAGTATAGTCATAATATTGTAATAACTGTGTGTGGTGCCAGGTGAGTACTAGACTTATCAGAGCGATCACTCTATAAGTTATATACATGTCTAACCGCTATGCAGTACACCTGAAACTAATAATATTGTATGTCAACTGGAATCGAAAAAATATTTTTTAAAGATTTTTTTCCCCTTCCAATCCTCACCTGAGGACATGCCTATTGATTCGGAAGAAAGGAGGGAGGGAGGGAGGGACATAAATGTGAGAAACATCGATCAGTTGCCTCCCGTATGCTCCCCAACCAGGGACCAAACCCACAACCTAGGCATGTGCCCTGACCCAGAATTGAACCCACAACCCTTCAGTGCATGGGACGATGCCCCAACTAACTGAGCCACACCAGCCAGGAAGGGCTCAAGAAAAACTGTTTTTTAAAAGGCAAAAACCGCCGAACCGGTTTGGCTCAGTGGATAGAGCGTCGGCCTGCGGACTCAAGGGTCCCGGGTTCGATTCCGGTCAAGGGCATGTACCGTGGTTGCGGGCACGTCCCCACTGGGGGGCGTGCAGGAGGCAGCTGATCGATCTCTCTCATCGATGTTTCTGACTTTCTATCCCTCTCCCTTCTTCTCTGTAAAAAATCAATAAAAAAAAAAAAAAAAAAAAAAAAAAAGGCAAAAACCCCAAGAAAGGAGAAAACTCAGCACCAAGCAATTCAAGTCAGTTTCACAGAATGTCAGTGGAAGACATGTGCTTTTATTTAAATTGTTCTGTAGTGCTCTTTGGTTTTTCAAAATTAAATCCCAAACTTATAAAGAGTCAAGAGGCAGAACAGCCCATCCAGGAACAAGTACAAGCATTATGCACACTGATAAATTCAGTCAGCAGGGCTGAGGGCGAAGAATTTCGTCTGGGGCTTCTCAGGCTGCTCAAAATGCGCGTTTGCTCTTGCATATGAAGCTCTGTCTCTTGACTGGAGAGGTAAGTGGGAAAGTTGGCCTGGGAGCGGTGACGTAGGAGGTAGGAACGGCCGGCTCTCCGATGAAAGGCTTTGGCTTCTTCAAGGAAGCAGAGACCAAACCACAGAAAGGCTGACCTGAATCTGGGGGCATAATCTTATCAGCCAGCACAGCAGGCCAGGGAGAGGCAATAGGGAGAGGTGGAGACTGTGGCAAAGCAGAGAGAGGCAACCTCTATGCAGCTTCACCAGCAGGCAATGCAGGCTTAGCCGGGGTTTAGAGGGAAACTCCAAATCTGGATTGGCACGTGCAGTTCCCCAGTTTTAAATGTTGTCAACAGATTCCAGATGGCTCAAACGCAGGCTGGGGGCAAGCAAACCCATCTTCTCACCAATGAGGCCTGCAGGCTTCCCGTCTGCAACCTTTGCCCTGAAGGAACTAGGCCCAGTTCTGTGAAACAGTCACAGGAGGCCATTCCCCATCTCCCTCGGGCACCCAGAATAGCCTTCCTGACCTGTAGCCGTTTTGCAATCTATGCCCCCTGCTGACAAAATGTGCAAATGCACTCCCACACCCCACATATCTGTCCGTGCCCCGAGCTGAGAATCACTGCATCTTTTGGGTGTCCCCAAAGCCAAGATTTGTGAGCTTTGCTTTCTGAGGTCTGAAAAACATTTGTTAGTGTGTTTGCTTTTCAAACATGAAATGATCATTGGAAAATGTGCCTGCATCTCAGATGTCTTTTTCCTTGTGCCCGGTATGGAGAATGCACTGTCCCCTCCCCCGTGGGAGTCAGAGCTGGGATCCCAAGCAAATTGAGGTGTCCTCACCCATCCACCGGCACCCTGCAGCCCCCTTCATGGCTCCCTGTGCTCACTCCTGGGCTGGGCGGCTGAAAGGAGAGGCTTGTTTCCTCTCAGTCATGGAGGCCAGAAGTCTCAGGTCCAGGTTTCCGCCAGGCGGTCCCACGCCTCTCTCCCAGGGCTGGGGCTGCTGCCACCCTGGGTGTTCCTTGTTTTGTAGCACTTCCCTCCAATGTCTGCTCCACCTTCACATGGCATTCTCCTCTCGTTCAAATTTCTCCCTTTTAGAAGTGTCCCGGTCACACTGGGTTAGGGCCCACTGTGCGCTCGTGATCTGATCTTAACCCATTATGTCAGCAGCGACCCTGTTTTCCAAATGTGGGTCACACTCGGAAGTCTGAGGGTTAGAACTTCCACAAAGCGGGGGACACTGCTCACCCCATTACTTTCTCCCAGTTCAGTGTGACTCCTTTCTGAAGGAATTAGAAAGCCCAGGTTACAACATGAAGTGGGCAGCACCAGCTGTCAGATGGCATCCAGTGAGTTGAGGGGTGCCATCGGTTATCACGGTTCAGGACAGGTGGGCCTGAGCAGAGAGCGGTCTCGAGGTGCGTGGGGAGGCCACTGGCCTCGCAGGCTGTGCCAGTTTCCACGCTGAATTCCTCTCTCCAGAGAGACTAGGTGGGAGAGGTGACAAAGGTCCATACAACTGCTGCTTTAAACCGTTTAGCAACCTCTGAAAGGGGGCAGGTCATCTGTCTGGGAGTTTGGCTAGAATCAGACTGGGGATCAGAGGTCATAAACTATAAACCCACAGATCCCCAGGCCCAGCAGGATGGGGTCAGATGCTGTCCTCGTCCAGCATCCTGGTGAGCCCCTCACAGATCCGGCGCAGGTGGGAGACGTAGGGCTCGGCCGGCCCGTAGAGCATGGCCAGGAAGTCGCAGTTGGCAAAGTGGCCGAAGACGTGGTTGATGCGGCCGTGGGACTTGGCGGTCAGGTGCGGGCCCACGGCCTGGTGCAGCAGATCGCGGCACTCGAGGAGGGCGGTGGCCAGCACACGCCGGTCGAAGGTGAAGTCCACCTGGTGGAAGCTGACGGCCGTCATGGCCAGGCGGCGCGCCCTCTGGCGGAAGCGCTGCAGGAGCACCAGCTCCTCCCCGCCCAGCTGGCCGCTGCGGAGCAGGACGCCCAGCTTCACCGCCACCTTGATGAGGTTCTTGAGCACCTTCTGGGCCTCCTTGCGGCTGCGCGTGAACTCCTTGGTGGCGCGGTACAGCTCGTCCAGCACTTCGCTGCTCGTGTCGTCGATGAACACGGCCACGGTCGCCTTGGACGCCACCTTGCTCAGGAGCTTCTTCTGGGCCTGCAGGGCCAGGCTCTTGGTGCTGAAGGTGTCCATTAGCCCTGCCGGGGAAAGAGGCCCAGCATCAGTTCCCCCGGCCCCGGGCCTTGCCCCTTTCCTGGTGGCTCCTATACAGCCCGCAATGCCCTGCCCCTCAGCACGGCCTCGCCCCCTTGTCGCCTCATCCCTCCGCTCAGCCTGGATACCACCTCCCCCAGAAAGCGATCCCCGAACAGTCAAACCCAGGGGAGGCACCTCCTCTGGGCCACACACGCCCCAGGCTCCCCCATCTCTGCTCTGCTCCCCCGGGCTTTGCTCCCCCTGGTCTGCCCTGCCCCAGGCCACAGTGGGGGCAAAGGGCTTGATTCCTTACCCGCTGTGTCCTTGGAGATTCCAGAAACATCTGCCGAGTGAGTAAGAGGAACCCGAGACCCACCCCCAGCCCCAGGCCCTGGTCAGAATCCACCCCCACCCTGGCCCCAGGCTGGCCAGACCAGGAATGTGCTGTGGGCTCCCACTCACACCCAAGGGCTCCTACAAAGCCCGTCTTTGTGGGAGCTCAGACCCCGGGAGAAGGCCAACCCCTGGCCGCCCTCGCAGAGGTTAGGGCGGGCACAGGGATTCCTGGAGCAGCCTTCCCTGCCCCCCACACCAGTCACCAGACCTCGGGGCTACACAGGCCGGGGCCAAAGCTAGGGTACCACTGACTCAGCACCGTGTGGCAGGCCCTGGCCGGCAGATGTGCCCATTTTGTCATTCCACCGGGTAGTGGGCAGGGTGCCCATTCTGCAAAAGCAAGCACCGAGGCCGAGCCACTGCCCAAGGCCACACAGGAACACCGTGCCCCCCCCCCCCCCCACCGCGCTGCTGCTCGTCAGCCCCTCCACGTTCCCAGCTGACACCGCACGTCACCCCCAGTCCTGGGGGGTTGGGAGCTGTCCCCCATGACAAAATCAGCCCTCAAGAGACATAACTGCCCTGTGCCTCGGTTTCCCCATTTATAAAGATAAGAACTAACTCTGCCCTGGAGCAGAAGCTTGTGACCAGCCCCAATGCCCACCCGCTGTGCCCGTCCCCTGGGCAAGAGGCTGGACCCCGAAGCCATCCAGCAACCTGGATGAGAAGGCCTCTGTGACAGCGGCGGCATCAGACTGGCCACTGGGCACAAGTACCTACCCCTCCCAGATGCCCTCCCACCAGTTTCTCTAGAACATTCTATCCCATTCCCTTTACTCGTTCTATACACTCCTACTCATCCTTCAAGTCTCAGCATCACCGTCACCCACTCCTGGAAGCCTTCCCAGAGGTCCCAGGCTGGGCCAGGGGCCCCTTGGCTCCCACGACACCCTGAGCATCCTCCATTGTGGCCCCGAGACCGTGGTTCCATGTCCGCCTCGCTGACCCAATGGCACGTGCAGGGGTGGATCACAGCGCGTCTCCAGTGGCCAGCCCAGGGCCTGGTACATAGAGGTGGCCGTGTTTGTGGAATGAATCAGAGAAAGGATGCCTGCAAACATTGGAATGAGAGAGCACTCCCAAGGCCTGGGTCTAATCTCCCCAGTTTACAGATGGACAAACTGAGGTTCAGAGAGGAACTTTCTCTGAGTCCAGGGATGAGGCCCAGGCTCTGGACCCCAAGGGCCCTGGAGCCCAGTTCCTTCTGCCTATTTTGGTTGCTGTGTGAGCCCAGGCAGGGCCTCTCTGGCCTTGACCTTCCCATCTGTAGGTCCTGAGGTGAGGCGTGCTGGTTCTAGAGGAGAGTTGGGCCTATTTGCAGTCTTTAGAAAGGACCTGGGCCCCCGCAGCACCCCCTCCCCAAGCCAGAAAGAAAAGGGGTGGGAGTGGAGGCAGCTGCAGCCTCCCTCCCCAGCCTCCACACTTCTAGCCCCTCCAGCCAGTCCCCAGATCCGCCACACCTGGGCCAGCCCAGCTGCAGGCCCACCCCTCCTCCCGGACTCATTGTTCTGCCAGAAACACTGCAAACAACGGGGGGGGGGGGGGGGGGGGGGGGCAGCAGGTCATGGATGAAAATAAACCCTGGCCTTCCTTCCTGCCTGCTGTGCTCACACAGGTCGGAGGGAGAACAAGCCAGGAGATGGCCAGCTGAGCCACGCCAGCCCTTCTGAGTCAGGGTCTTTCCAGGAACGGCCCCGAGGTTCGGGGGCCACCAAATGCCAGAACCCCACTGTCATTACAAGCCAGAAAAGCCCACTAACGTCTTAGAGGCTGTGCCAGAATATTCATTCAGCTGCTCAATGAGCATTTATGGAGCACCAACTGTGTGCCAGGCACTGGGAAGACACCGATGACAAAAAGAGATCTGGTCCCTGCTCTGCTGGGGATCCCAACCCTCTAGACCCCAGGCCAATTCCTTCTTACAAAATCCTTTGGGCGCTCCCGTTCTCCCCTGAAACGGACTCCGCAGCACTATCAGCTACCTCTGCCCACCCGTTTAAAAGTAAAATGAGCAGATGGTGAAACAGGCACCATCTGCGGGGACCAAGGGCATGGCGTCTGGGGCGCTTCCTGTTCTGTTCAATCTGGGCGGTACGCAGAGTCAGATGCACAATCTGGGGACTGGCTGGAGGGGCTAGAAGTGTGGAGGCTGGGGAGGGAGGCTGCAGCTGCCTCCACTCCCACCCCTTTTCTTTCTGGCTTGGGGAGGGGGTGCTGCGGGGGCCCAGGTCCTTTCTAAACGTCTCTGAGTCAGATGCACTAAAAACCAGCCAGCGAAGTGTACACTTTAAAAGATGAACTTTATGGTCTGTGAATTATGTTTAAATAAAGAGTATCTAACATTTCTCCAAAGAAGATATACAAATGGCCAATAAGCAGCTGAAAAGGTGGTCCACATCCTTGGCCACTATGATCTATCACTTCACGCCCACCAGGACGGCTCTTAGAAAAAAGACAATATCACCCTGGACGGTGGCTCAGTGGTTAGATCACTGACCCAAACACCAGAGGGTCACAGGTTCAATTTCCAGTCAAGGGGATGTGTCCAGGTTGCAGGTTCGATACCCAGCCCCCCGTCAGGGCATGTGCAGGAGGCAACCAATCGGTGTTTCTCTCTCACATCTCTCACACACCACTCTTTCTCACTCTCACACTCTCTCCTTCCTTCCTTCTTTCCTTCCTCCTCACTTCCTCCTACCTCCCTACCTGCCTTCTACTCTCTCTAACAATCAATGGAAAAGCGTGGCTCAGTGGTTGAACGTTGACCTATGAACTAGGAGGTCGTGGTTCAATTCCCGGCCATGGCACATGTCCTGGTTGCGAGCTCTGTCCCCAGTGGGGGACGTGCAGGAGGCAGCCGATCAATGATTCTCTCTCATTATTGATGTTTCTCTCTCTCTCTCTCTCCCTCTTTCCCTTCTTCTCTGAAACCAATAAAAATATATATTTTTAAAAATCAAAGGAAAAATATCCTTGGTGAGGATTAACAACGAAAGGCAGTATCAGGTGCTGGTGAGGCTGTGGAGAAACGAACCCTCACACGCACGGAAGGTATGAAAAATGGAAAACGGTGCAGCTGCTGGGAAAACAGTTCTGGCAGTTCCTCAAGCACAGAGTTACTGCATGACCCAGCAACTCCACTCACAACGTCTGCTCCCCCAAATGAAAACGCACGTCCACACCAAAACTCACACACACATGCTCAGAGCAGCACAAGTCATGTGGCCCAAAAGTGAACCCCCAGTGACCGTCAGCAAATGAGTAAACAAAATGTGAGCCGCACACGGGAATATTACTCGGCCGTGAAAAGGACTGAAGCTACAGCGGGTGGGCCTTGAACACATGGTGCTCAGTGAGAGAGGCCAGACCCAAAAGGCCACACAGCGTGTGATTCCGTTTATGTGAAATGCCCAGGACAGGCACACCCTCAGGGACAGGAAGCGGGTGCCAGGGGCTGGAGGCGGGGGGCGGGGGGTGAGGACTGACTGCTGATGGAGACAGGGCTTCTTTCAGGGGTGGTGGAATGTTCTGGAATTTGAATACTTTAAAATGGTGAGTTTATATCTCATCAAGCGGAGCACTTACTATTAAGTGTGTGTACCTATATCTTTAAGCCCCTCACTATTTATATATATATATATATATATAATTTTTTTTTTAAATATATTTTATTGATTTTTTACAGAGAGGAAGGGAGAGAGATAGAGAGTTAGGAACATCGATCAGCTGCCTCCTGCACACTCCCTACTGGGGATGTGCCCGCAACCCAGGTACATGCCCTTGACCGGAATCGAACCTGGGACCCCTCAGTCTGCAGGCCGACGCTCTATCCACTGAGCCAAACCGGTTAGGGCCTATTTATATTTTATAGCTCGTTTTTTACAATGCTAAATGAATTTAAAAGTAGGATCTGGCCCAAACTGTAATACAAACAGAAAGTAAGATAATGCCACAAGAGTTGTAAAACACTTTCACATTGACAGGCACTCAGTAGGTCCTCGGGACGTGTCTGTTTGTTTTTTAATTGATTTTAGAGAAAGAGAAAAAGGAAGAGAGAAATCTGTTGTTCTACTTATTTATGCATTATTCTTTTTAATATATATTTCATTGGTTTTTCACAGAGAGGAAGGGAGAGGGATAGAGAGCTAGAAATATCGATGAGAGAGAAACATCAATCACCTGCCTCCTGCACACTCCCCACTCGAGATGTGCCCGTAACCAAGGTACATGCCCTTGACTGGAATCAAACCCGGGACCCTCCAGTCCGCAGGCCAACGCTCCATCCACTGAGCCAAACCGGTCAGGGCTATTTATGCATTATTGATTGATTCCTGTATGTGCCCTGCTGGGGATCAAACCCGAAACCTTGGCATATTGGGATGACTTTCTAATCAACTGAGCTACCTGGCCAGGGTGAGACATGTTTGATTAAAAAGAATTTCCCTCCTTAAAAGCTCAAGCTCACTGCACTCAAGGATGGAGCAAATCTATCAGAGGTTTGCCCATATGGTGAACATCCTATATAATAAAAGGCGAATATGCAAATAGACCCAACGGCGGAACAACCGGTTGCTACGATGCACACTGACCACCAGGGGACAGATGCTCAACGCAGGAGCTGGCCCCTGGTGGTCAGTGCGCTCCCACAGGGGGAGTGCCGCCCAGGCAGAAGCCCTGAGCTGGACTCACGGCTGGCGAGTGCAGCGGTGGTGGCGGAAACCTCTCCTGCCTCCGCGGCAGTGCTAAAGATGTCCACCTGAGGTGTCCTGGATTGCAAGAGGGCACAGACTGGGCTGAGGGACCCCACCCTCCCCTAGTGCACGAATGTCGAGCACCGGGCCTCTAGTCCTATATATTAAAAGCCTAATATGCTAAGTGTCCGACTGTTTGTTCAACTGGTTGCTATGACGCTCACTGACCACCAGGGAGCAGACAGTCCGACCAGTAGGTTAGCTTGGTGTTGGGGTCCAGTCAATTGGGACTGGGTGAGACAGACTGGACATGCCCTGGAGCCCTCCTGCGGTCCCTCCCCAGCCCCGATCGTGCACCAGTGGGGTCCCTAGGCCTGGCCTGCACCCTCTTGCAATCCGGGACCCCTCGGGGGATGTTGGAGAGTCACAGGCCAGGCCAAGGGACCCCACCAATGCACAAATCCATGCACCAGGCCTCTAGTATAGTTATAAATGCCTCCCAAAAGAGTTTCATCTCCCTTCAATTTACCCAGGAATATTCACTGAATATTAAAATGGTGCAAAAAAACCACCCCCACGTATCAGCTTATGTTCTCGGCAGGACATTAGGAAGTGGAGGCCGAGGGCTGCCCTGAGCGTGGCTGGACACCTAGTGTCCCTGGTCCCTGCCCCCAAACACTAGAACATCCTGCCATTATCAGAAGCAAAAAAAAAAAAAGAGTTTTCCAAATTTCCAAAATGGCCCCCTAAGAGAGGTCGCCCACACTGGGAGGAGGGCCAGAAATCATTGCACATGGAAATAAACAGGATAATTTCAGGGCCATGGGGGCAGCGGGGGAAGTGACAGGAACAGGCAGGTGACATGGGCTGGGGTTGTCGGGAAGGCCTTTCTGAGGTGGCGCCCCTGGAGCTGGGACTGAAAGGACAAGGTCTGGGGGACGGTTGAGCCAGGCAGAGCGAGCGGCCTGTACACCGGTCCTGGGGCGGGACCTGTCCGGCTGTTAGAGGAACACAAGGCCACAGGCCCATTCACAACCCCTCACAGGCCACAGTGGCTCCAGACAAGCCCCTGCCCCTAGGGACAGCTTTCCCGTCTGTGAAATGGGTGTCCAGGCACCGAGCGGCTCTGTTGACTCCTGCCCTGCCCCCCACATGCTTCCCCCAAACACTGGAGCCTGGTCCAGGCTTCGGACTTTTGCTCTCTGCCAACCCCGTTTCAGGTTTGGACGCCGACCTTTGTCCCCGTTCCCATGTTGGACACTCCAACTCCCACTATTCCTGGGAGTCACCCCCCACCGCCCTCCTCTTCTACCCCAGGCAACCACAGACCCACTTCCTGTCTCTGGATCTGCTGTCCTGGACATTCCACATAAACGGATCGCACGCTGTGCGGCCCTCTGGGTCTGGCTGCTCTCACTGAGCATCATGCGCGCAAGGTCCATGCACCTTGCAGTGACAGTCGGTGAGTGCTCCACTCCTTCTCGTGGCTACCTAACACCCCATACCTTATTTCTAATACAACGTCATTAACCCCAAGTTCAGAGTCTGTCATTTTTAGTAAATGGCAAAATTCCTGGAAATACAGCAAGGGGCTCTCGTGAGCCGGGGTGAGACTGCTCCGGGGTGCCACTGGCCCACGGGCAGCCTGCCCCGCCCCATGAATTCTTCATGCCCCACACAAAGGGTGTCAATAATTGATGCACACCAGCCACTCCTTCTCTCCTCTCTGTCCCGGCTGCAATGGCCAAGGATGGCCTCAGGGGGCCCCCCGCCTCTGCCCACTGTGGCCACAGACCTTGTTCCCACACAACATCAGGTTCCCTCTACAGGAGTCCTTTATCAACCATCGCTCACACTGCTTGGTCAGTGCTCACTTTAAATATGGCCAAAGGGAAAGGGGAGTCTGCCCGTCTGAGGTTGGGGAGACACCAGTGGTTATCAAACTTGGTTTCCTAGAGCCCTTGGGGGCCACCCCAAGGACAAGCAGGGTCTGGCCACCTGCCGGGCTGCAGTGAAAGCCAGGACACTTTCAACTGTGGTCAGATTTCTACCGAAGGAAGGGTCTGGGGGCCAAACAGGAAAGTTGGAAGACCACTGCCAAACCCATGCAAGGAAGCACAGGACCGGCCGGGGCTAAGTGGATGCTTCAGGGTCACAGGGCAGGAAAGTGGGTGCAGCTCCTAAATGAGTTCTGGCTTTACCCCATTCTCACCCACCCCTGGCCTCATCCCTGGTCCCCTGGCCCCATGCTGCCCTCCCTGAAGCAGCCACCAGAGGGCGCCAGTAAACACCTAAGGGGGGCCCCAGCCGCCGCAGCCTCCTCCCCCTCCTCCCCCTCCTCCTCCTCCTCCTCCCCCTCCTCCTCCTCCTCCTCCTCCCCCTCCCCCCCCCCCCCCCCCCCCCCCAGCTCACTCTGCCCCAACAGGCTTCCTCCCTGTTACTCCACACACCATGCAAGGACCTGCCCTAGGGCCATTGCTGGGTCTGTACCCTCTGCCTGGAATGCCCATCCCCCCAGGTCTCCAGTAGCTGTTTCTTCCTTGTCTTTCAGGGCTTAGATCAAATGCCGCCTCCTCAGGAGGCCCCCTCCGAACCCCCATTTAAACCAACTTCCCCATCCATCTGACTCCCCATTATCTTCATGCAGTTACAACTAAGTGTAACGCTTTTTCTGGCTGAAAGTACATGTCTTCCAACCCTGAAGCTTGGCTCACAGTAGGTGCTCAGAATCTGTTTGTTGAATGAATACACGACCTCTCAGAGGGTCATAGAGATCTCATTCCTGGGCCCCGCTGTTCAGCCTGGAAAACTGAGACCCAGAGACAGAATTATCCCAAGGTTCCATGGTAGCACAGCAGCAGCCTCTCTGGAGGGGGGCTCCCCCAGGTGGATGCTCCCAACCACCACCACCGCACTGGAGGACAAGGCCTTAGACGATCTCAAGGACTCAGCCTGTGGTCCCCCCATGGAAGCTCAGGAGGGCGGGATTCCGGGGGAGGTCGTCTCAGGGAGGGGTGTAGGGGCATCCCAAAGAAGGTGTGTATGCTGTGGCGCTGGGCCTCGTCCTGCCAGCTCTTGGCTCCCAGCGCTCGGTGGATCACACCTGGGGCTGAACCCAGACCAGCATGAGTTATTAGTCAGCATCTGCCTCTCAGTGTGGCTGTTTCCATGCCAACAGCTGGTTTTTCCTGGGCACCGTCTTGTGGCCACGATTGACAGACAGAGACGCTGAGGCCTCCTTCATCCACCTCCTTAGACCACCACGCAGCCAAAAGGCCCCTCACCTGCCGGGGCCTCAGAGGAGGAAATGGAGGCTCTGGGCCCCCGACACGCCCAGGGCTACACGGCAGGAGGCGACACCATGGGGCCTCAAATCTGCACCTGCCTAATGTCTTCTCTTAGGGACCCCCTGCCTGCGCCCCATCAGAATGGGATTCAAGACCCCCACAGGCCTGGACACTCACCCACCGCCGACCGCCGTTGTCCCAGGGCACGGAGCCTGCCAAGTGCGAGAAGCACAGCCCAGGTGTCTGTGTGGCCCGGGCTGCAGCTCTTTGTTATGGTTTCCATAGGTACCGAGTCCCTGGGCCGGCCCTCCTCCACTCCTCCCAGGTGCCCAGCCCATCTAGGCAACTTGTTATGTTTTAAAATTGACATTGTGGGCCCGGCATGGTGGCCGGGGAAACAGCGTGTACATAGGCCCTGAGGCAAGACGATGCCTGGGTGTGAATGTGGAGGCTGTGTGCCTGGACAGCTAGGGAGAGGGAAAGTGGGAGGATGTGAGGGCCAGGAGAAATGCCTCTCTATTCCATTTTGGAGGGGGAAACTGAGGCCCAGAGAAGGGAAGGGAAGTGCCTGAGGACATGGAGACTCACATTCCTGCATTTAATCCTGGAGGCAGCACTCAGCGCCAGGAGTCACGTTCCTGCCATTATACAGACAGGAAGCTGAGCCTGGGAGCACCAAGTCATCTGTGAGTGGCAGAGTGGGAAGCAGGTTTGTCAGATCCCAAGATCCGAACTCCCCAACCACTTGCACAACTGCTCTCGCCCATCTGCAGCCCTTCAGGGCCTTCACCGCCTCCAGCTGGGCTCAGACTCCTCGGGAGGTAACCCTGGAGACCTGTGTACACCTGGGGCTGCCCTGCTCCCGGAGGGGCCCCAGGATAGAGGAGGCCGTGAAGCCGGCAGATCTGGGTCAGCTCACCTGCCAGTTACCTCAGCGGGTGACCGTCCCAGTTCACAGCTGGCAAAACTGAGGCCAAGGCTTCAGGCCACGGGGAAGCTCCTAGGGGCGGGTGTGGGCCTGGGCCTGGCTCTCCAGCAGCCTGGAATCTGGCCCCAGCACCTGGCGCCAGGTGGAAGGAGTAGAGTCCATCAGAGTCCCCATGGCAGGTGGGGGGGCTCTCTATGCCCGTGGGGACAGTTCAGACCCACTGTGCCTTCCCCTAACCCTGCAGCAGAAGAGGGTCCGAGACCAAGGGAGAGGGAGAGGGAGACCCAGGCAGGAGGAGTACAGGCGGACGGGGCAGCGGGCTTTGCAGGGGCACGACGTGGCGGGAGAGACGGAGGGCGGCCAGGCAGCCCCGGGAATGCGCCCGGCATCGCGCTCTCACCTGCTCTTCGGGGCCCGTCGTGGATCCGACAGCCGGGATCCGGTCCCGCCGCCTCCGAGGGCCGAAGCGCCCGCCGCGGAACTCGCGCTGGTTAACCCAGCGGGTGGGGCGGGAAGCTCTAGCCCTCGGGTCGCCGGGCCCCTCGCCGGGCCCCGCCCCCGCCCTGCTCCCGCCCTCTCGGAGGGGGATGGGCCCAGGGCAAGGGCTCAGCCAATAGCAGTGCGGGCGGCGTACGAAAAAGCCAATGGAAGCAGGTCAGCGCCGCGGGGGCGGGGCTAGGGGCCGGGCCAGGCGGTCGGGGGATTCCTCCGGAATCGCGAAACCGGCCGGATGCTGGGGGCGCCCCGGACCGGGGCCGTCGGAAGAAAGGGGAGGAAGGGGACAGAGTCAAAAACAAAGAGACCCGGGGGAGAGGAAGGCTCAGAGCCAAAGAGAAAAACATCAACCGTGCAGTTCTGGACAGGACCTTCCTCCCTCCGGGACTCAGTTTACCCACCTGGGTAACAGGAATTTGGGTAAAGGCTTGTTTCTTAAAGTACAACCAGGGAACCCTTTACATCAGAATCACCTGGGAGCCCCTTAAAAATGCAGATTCCAGGACCCCGAGACGGGCTGACTCTGACCCAGGACCGAAGATCCATCGTCCCGGGTTACTCATAAACTCTCCGGTGAGGTTTGGCCAGTGGCTGGGTGGACAGGCCCTGGAGATCCCACCAGGGGACCCCCAGAGCCAGCCTCCACTTCCCTGGGAAGGAGCCTCCTGGCCGCCAGCAGGTGGGGCGGCAGGGCCAGCTGGGCATCCCCTCCACCCGCCCCCACCCGCCGCGAGGATGCAGCTGTGAGTCCTGGGAACTGGGCCCTGGAGCAGCTCCCAGCTCCCTTGCTCCTGTTTCCTCTCTGCAGCCCCAACCCAGGGCCCAGTTGCAGCTGGAGCCAGGGGCGGCGGGCAGGCCCCATAACAAATGTTTGTTGAGTGCCTAGTCCTGTCCTGCACGGTGGGGGGTGGGGGACAGGGAACTATGGCACAAATAAATGAAATGTTTCTTTATTCCCTTTTGGAGGGGGAAACTGAGGCCCAGAGAGGGGAAGTGAACGGCCCGAGGACACGCAGGCACCAGTGGCAGGGACGCGATTTCAAACCTAGGATTGCTTGTCCTACCTCTTCTCACCCCCGGCTAGGTCCCCCTCTCTCTCTAAGCCAGGCTGTCTCATCCTCGGCACTCCTGACATTTGGGGCGGTAATTCCTGGGGGCCGAGGGGCGGGGGGGGGGGCACCATGTGCACTGTGGAATGCTGAGCAGCATCTCTGGCTTCCACCACTCAGTGCCAAGGTAGCCCCTTCCCCCCAAGTTGTGGCAAACAAAAATGTCTCCAGTCATTGCCAAGTGTTCCCTGGGGGTCAGATTGGCCCCTGGTTAAGACCTAAATCCATCTCTTCATGTCCCTGAGCCCCAAATTACAAAATGGATCAGGGCAGCTAATGGGGGTCACAGAGGCAGAGGGAGCCATGTTAGCACCTCATCAACCCTCAGCAGTTGTTTCGATGGGTGCTGCTGGGCATGAGCAGGTGTGGAGTGTGACTGAGGTGGGTCCAGTCCCAGCTTTGTCAATATCTGCCTCCAAGCGTTCATCTCTCCGAGCCTCCATTTTCCATGTCTGTGACATGAGGATAATAAAGCCTACAGGGCCACAAATAAGGTGATAAATAAAAAATGCAGGTTCTGCCCTGGCTGGTTTGGCTCAGTGGATAGAGCGACGGCCTGCAGACTGAAGGGTCCTGGGTTCAATTCTGGTCAAGAGCACGTGCCTGGGTTTCGAGTTCGATCCCCAGTAGGGGGCGTGCAGGAGGCAGCCAATCAATGGTTCTCTCTCATCATTGATGTTTCTATCTCCCCCTCTCCCTTCCTCTCTGAAATCAATAAAAAAAATTTTTTTAAATGCATGTTCTGCCCGGCTAGTGTGGCTCAGTGGTTGAGAGTTGACCTATCAACCAGGAGGTCATGATTCGATTCCCAGTCAGGGCACATGCCCGGGTTGCAGATTTGATTCCTGGGTGGGGTGGGTATGGGAGGTCACTGATAGCTGTTTCTCTCTTGCATCAATGTTTCTCTCTCTCTCTCTCCCTCCCTCTCTCTCTGAAATCAATAAACATATCCTCTGGTGAGGATTTTTTTTTTAGTGCTCACAAGAATGTGAAGAAATTAGAACTTTGAACATTGATAGTGGGGGGGGGATATAAAATGGTGCAGCTGTTGTGGAAGTTTGGTGGTTCCTTAAAAAGTTAGTCATAGACTTAGCATATGACTGAGCAATTCCACTCACAGGTATCTACCCAATGAAGTTGAAAGCAGGGACGCAAACAGATAGTTTCCTAGCAGCATTAGTCACAATAGTCAAAAGGTGGAAACCACCTGTGTCCGTCCACAGACGATGAAGAAGCACAATGTGGCTCATCTATGCAATGGCATATTATTCAGCCTGAAGAAGAGAGAAAATTCTGATTCCTGCTATAATTTGGATGAGCCTTGGGGACATGATACTGAGTGAAATAAGTCAGACACAAAAGGATAAATACTGTGTGATTCTAGTCATCGGAGGTCCCTAGAGGAAGCAAATGCATAGAGACAGAAAGTAGGTGGTGGGAGCCAGGGGCTGGGGAAGGTGTGTGTTTAATGGGGACGGAGTTTCTGTTTGAGAAGATGAGAAAGTTCTGGAGACGGATGGTGGTGATAATTAAACAACAATGTGAATGTATTTCATACCACTGAACTGCACACTTAAAATGGTTAAAAGTGATAAACGTTATGTTGTAGATTTACCATAATTTTAGAAATGAATAATGTAATATACCAAAACACTGAATTGTATACTTTAGAAGAGTGAATTGCATGGTATATAAATTATGTCTCAATAAAACTGTTTTGTTTTTTAAGAAAGGGCCCAGCGCCACATCTGGTAATAATAGCAACAATAGTATAACTAATATTTATTGAGCACCTATTTTGTGCCAGTCACTATTAGCACTTTACATAAATTAAACTCATTGAATCCTCACAGCAACCCTGCAAGGGGCTACAGGTGTCCCATTTCACAGATGATGACATTGAGGCTCAGAAGAAGCAGGTCATGACAGAGGTGGGATTAGAACCTGGGACAGTCTGAGTTGGGTGTAATGTGTACAGCTCTTCTGAGTGGCCTGGACATCCCTGGGGTTGCCCCCAGAAGGCCAGGGAACTGGGGTGGGAGAGGAGCGGGGGGCTCCTGAGCCTAGTGAAGAACAGACCGGGGCTCTACCTGGGGTGAGGCTCAGCTCGGATCTTGGGGTCATGGCTGTGCCGCTTCCCGCCGTGTGCAGCAGGGGGCGTGCGTTGCCCACAGCTGGCCCAGTAGCGACCTCTCTCACAGGAGTAGGTGGCTAAAGTGGTCCGGATCTGCATGCCCAGAAGGGTCCCAAGTCCAAGTTACCCCAGACCTAAACCCATCCAGTGTCGCCGGCACCCCAGAATCAGGCCTTGCACCCTGCCGGACTGTGGACCCCGAGAAAGAGGGCCTCTGCTCTGTGCCTCTGCCTCGTCCCTGAGCAATGGGACCCCCGTGTAGAGAGGAGGATTCTCTCCGGGGTCCTCCGGGAGGCCCTCGCCTGGCGGCTTCCCCACGGCCCAGGAGCTGTGGGGGGCCAGGGGTGGCAATGGCCATAACAACCCCCCCTATGCTCCAAGCCCAGTGGTAACTCCCCCATGTCCTTAATCCATCTGTCCCCAGCCCATCTTATCTTGGGGGGCAAGATGCCTCCCAAGGCCACTTAAGAGAGTGGGCCCAGCCTGCTTGGCTCAGAGCTTGAGTGTCGGCCTATGAACCAGGAAGTCATGGTTCGATTCCCTGTCAGGGCATGTGCCTGGGTTGTGGGCTTGATCCCCAGGGGTGTGCAGGAGGCAGCTGATCAATGATTCTCTCTCATCATTGGTGTTTCTATCTCTCCCTTCCTCTCTAAAATCAATAAAAATGTATTTACAAAAAAGAAAAGAAAAGAAAGAAAGAGTGGGTGGGCGGACCCAAAGGGGGACAGGATGAGGGGGGGTGGAAGCTTGCTGGAGCCCCCACAGGCCAGAAGGGCTCGCAGAACTTCCCCAAGAGCACCTGGGCGGGGGGAGGCTGTCAGCATCTCTGCGGTCACTGGCTCAACCTGAGGTCAGGGTCACAGGCCAGGTGACCCCTCTCCTCCCCTCTGCTAACGGGGAGGCAGAAGACAAATGGGTGGGAAGGTCCTACACAGCCTCCGTCCTTTGCCTCCATTGCCCCATTCCCCGCACCTTCCTCCCCGCTGAACACTGAACGCTGAGCAAAGGAGCAAGTGGGGCCGCAGCGGGAGGATGCATTTACAAGTGTCAGCGGGGCAGCCACCTGCTGGCTGCCTGCCTGTGGGAGGCCGGTGTCTGGGGAGATAAACTCCCGTCGGGGCCTGTGTACACGTGCGTATGTGGGTGTGTGTGGTGGGGAGGGGTGGCCGATCTGCTGCTGCTGCTGAGGGTGGTGAGCCCCACAGCATTCCTGGCGGGAGAAAACTTCATTGTGTGGAGCCTCAGTTCCTTTATCTGGAAAATGGGTGCAGTCACAGCACCCGCTTCAGAGACTTGTAAAACTCGGCGGACACAGCAGGCTCAGCAGAGGCCTCACACACACACAGGCCGCCAAGTCCGGGCTGTGACGAGGGACACACAGGCAGCTGTGGGAGCCCAGGCTAGTCCCTTGACCACGCCTGGGGCCAGGGAAGCTTCCAGGGGGCGGTGACAACTGAGCTAAAACTTTAAGCGAGAGCAGGAGCCAGCCATGGGGAGAAGCAGGCAGGAGGCGCTTTCTGTTCTTGGCTTGCTGGCCTCGGTCAGAGCGCAGGGCCACCCTGAGCCGGTTTCCCCATCTTCAAATCCGA